CACATTAACCAGCAGCGCCACATCGGGTCTTCTTTGTAGATGTATAGATATTATCCTATCACAGATAACATTTGTGTAGATATTATCCGATCACAGATAACATTGTACTTAGATCTTAATGTGTTCTTTTTGATAATGATTGTGACAATATTCCCTTTTGATTTGTCACTCCTTGTGATTATAGATTCAAAATGACTAGCACCAATCCATTTTAGCTTACTAATGCCGAGGAAGGAATCTTGGTATGGCACCATAGGATATTTGAACTGCATGGTCAGCTGTTCAAACTCTCCAGCTGCTCTTTGGAAACCCTATATAGGATTACTGAGTTGTAACTGAGTCGGCGGCACTTAACAACAACAACAATGCCTAGGATATCAATCTTTATGTGTTCCATTTCATAGTTGAGAACTTTCATACTAGATTCATACTTCAGACATTTCATTTTCTCATTACTAATGGATGTTTATAGCTGTTTCTCCTCATTTTGAGTTGTCCTCTATCAACACAAGAAGGTCCTGAAAGCTTTGTCTATTTGTGTCATCAACTTTGAGGAGGCAGCTCATCCTAGTTGTATCTTGAGTGCCTTCCAACCTGAGATCTCATCTTTTGAAACTATATTGGAATGATGTTCTGGTGCTATTCATAATGTCTTCATCGTCTGGTGCTATGTCTGACAGTGTTCTGCTATTAACCGTGAGGTTTTCATTGGCTAAACATTAAAGAAGTCGTCTGCCTTTTGTTCTTCTTAGTCTGTCTAAGTCTAGAAGCTCTGCTGAAATCTGTCCATCATGAGTGACCAATGTTGGTACTTAGAATATCCGTGGAATAGCTTCTAGCATCATAGCAACATGCAAATTATCACAATAAAACCAACCAAATTGCCAAGTGGTGGAGACATCAGTAGTATCCTGAATTGTTGTTGTTGTTAAGTGCCGTTGAGTTGGTTCTGATCCATAGCGACCCTGTATAGTGTTTCCGAGGATCTACTGGTGAGCTTCAACTGCCAACTTGTGGTTTAAACTGACTTTGCAGACCAGTGCATTAACCTGCAGCACCACACCAGGACTTAGTATCCTGAATATAGCCCTCTAATTCACACACCTATGGCACATGCATATGTCTCTTAATAATATTTAAAGTGGTCTTTATGCAGTACCTTTAAATATTACATAATATTTCCTTAAATATTTTATATATTATAAATGCTATTGCATGTATTCTGAATGCTATCTATATTCTGAAATTCTTTTGTTATTACATTTTTGAGATTCATGCATATTAATGCATGAAGCTTTAGTTCATTCACTGCTGATATTTAGTACATAGTATACATAAATGTACCATACTACTTTTATTCATTCACATTTGGTCATTTCTAATTGTTTTCTCTTACAAACAGGCTGCAATTGACATTATTGCAAATATCTTTTTGTGTGCATCTTCTAGCATGTTTCTTAGATATATGTTCTTGTTGTTGTTAAGTGCCATCAAGTTGGTTCCAAATTATAGTGACCCTGTATTTGGTTTCTGAGGAGTGACTGGTGGGTTTGAACTGCGGACCTTGTGGTTAGCAGTCAATTACTTATCCTACAGTGTCACAAATATGGTGAGGGGTAAAGTTGCTGAGTTATTACTTTTCAGAATTTCTGGGATGTTATTTTGCAGCTTTAGAGAAAGTAATTTCATAAATTACTTTAGGAATTGCTTTATTGTATCTTAGGATCAATCAGAAATATTAAGGCATCAATCTAAGTTGCTTATACATATAGTTCCAAATAATCATTCTTATCAACATGGGAAGTCCATATAGAAAAAAGAAACAGAGTCATGGAGAGATCAAAAAATCACTCAAAGCCATGAGTTACTAAAAGTGTAATCTAGAATGAGCTAGTAGCAAAATAATATTTCACCTACAGAATACATGATAATTATTGGAGTTTATGATCCTGTTTTGAATTTTGCAGAGTACTAAATAAAGAGAAAGGAGCTCTGGCAGCGTAGTGGTTTTGAACTGGGCTGCTAATCTCACTGTCAGCAGTTCAAAACTACCAGCTCTTCCACAGGAAAAAGATGAGGAGAAAGATGAGGCTTTCTGCTCCTGTAAAGATTTACTGCCTCAGAAACCCTGTACAGGGTCACTATGAGTCAGACCTGACTCCATGGCACATAACAACAACAACAAGTAAAGAGAAGATTGCAGGAAAGACAGAAAATATCTGATTTACTTTCTTTTCTTTTTTGTTTTTTATGCCCTTTTCTGGTTTTCACACATGAAGAGCAAATTGGATGAACTCAACAAACGCCTTAATATTAAAGGATCTACAGAAGGTAAGGGGTTGATGGAAAAAGCAACCAGATACACTTTGTGTTATAATTTCAAAAATTGAAGAAATGTCTTAGTTACCTTATAGTGTAAGCACAGTATTTTTTTTTTTTTTTTTAAACTACAATTTGGATTGCAAAGCAATCTTTATATCCATCTGGCAAAAGGCACTGGTTTACTCTATGTACACAAGATGCCAGCTGCCAGCTGTGTAATCATCAGAAAATTTCCGTTAGCTTTTTTCCCCCAATAGGTTTAAGTTCCCTGTAAAACAGACATCTGTTCTCTATCTGATGTTAGGTCATAAGTTAAGGTGGTGATGGGAACTCCTATAAAGGGAACTGTAGTGATGGTTATAATAAATCACAGCATCTGGCATTATTATATGAGCAGATAAACACTCACCTATCTGGAATGTGCTGGAGAGATTCACAGACAAATGGAAAGAAAATAATCGGAACTCCCTCTTGACATAAGAATCACCTTAGGCCCTAACTCATTCTCCTCTTATTTTATGTACAATGATACCAAGCCTATAATGGCCAACATTTACAAGCATATGGTAGAATAAAAACCATCCCCAAATCTCAGTGGCTTATGTCAAGAGTGGTATGTTTCTTGTCCACATTTCAGGGTGCTGACTATATGTAGGTCACGTATGGCTTTGCCCCATGTTACTCCTTACCCTGGAATCTTGACTGAAGGCATTTGGGGCATGCTCGTCTCATAGTATATGTTACAATGGGTCTTAAGGCTTCTGTTTTTATGAGTCATGTGTCACTTCCACTAACAGTTCACTGGTCAAAGCCTAGTACAAAATGCTAGTGGTGTGAGGCCACTGTGACATGGAATGGGTGGTTGTATATAATCCGCTATAGGAGGGGAGTGAATAACTGGGAACAATAAAGCAATGTGCCACACAAGCTCTCTCTTCTGATTTTGAAATTCTAGAAAATTACAAGGAAATAGAAGAGGAGGAAAGACGCTCTCCAGGCTATTATCGTAGCTGGGATCGCTTGTGGTCACTGAAAGAGAGTCACTGTTACTGTTAAGTGCTGTCAAGTCAGCTCTAACTCATGGTGACCTTGTGTATAAACAAACATTACCCAGTCCTAAACCATCATTTAGTGAGTAAACGAGAGTGTTTTTAAAAAGTGAATAGAACTCAAACACAGCAGCCCAAGCCATGTAATAAAGGAGCACACAGTAAAATTCTCCCGAGAGCATCACTTGAACTATTAGCTTACATATGGTTCTGCTTATTATATGTGCTGTTTCCAATCAGATTAAGTACACTGGGGTAACCAATATGAGGTTTATTTGCTTGAGTTCTTTTCTCTGTTTATGAAGATCTTCATCTCCCTCCTCCTTCCATTTTCTGTATCTCTGTCCTCTCTCTTACTCCTTTGATCGCAAAATACACAAACTCTTTGGCAGATAATCAGATGAACTCAGCTCTGAAGGTAGGACTTAGTTGGTGGATGGGTACACAAACCCTTCACAAACTTTAGAAGTGATTTAAAATGGGTAACACCTAACCTCTAATGGACTATAGTGTCACTACAGTGTTGTCCTTCCATATAGAAAACATTGGACTGTTGCTGAAGTCTGTGGCTGAGGAGTGTGGTGATTTGAACTTTTCAAATATTCATTCACTAAGACAGAGATATGGTATTGAGTATTGAGATGTTTTTCTTCCAAATGTCACTAATGAAATCAGTAATTATAACAGCCTTGCAGAGTCATATGTTTTGCTGATTCAAGCCTTAGTTATTTATGGTAGGAAAACACTTCTGCTTGGGAAAGAGAGAGCTCCTGCATTTCATTTGTTGGTGGTAGCATACTCATGTGACACAACCAGTCCAGTACTCAGCAGAAACAGTTGCCTCAAACTTATGAGTATGAAGAGGTTTCTGTTCAGAGAATCACCAACTCACATGGCTTGAAGGGCGTTCTAGTCAGTGGCTTCATTACATCATCCCTTTGCTCGGAGTTGAATATAAGCTTCTATCTCAAGATAATTTTCTATCACTGGAGCTTAAAGTTTATATATTGTCAAAGAAATGGAGCCCTGTTCAGCCAGCATTTGCTGAGCACATATTCTGGGCTGGGCATTCTCTGAGATTATCTCTTATGCCAGGTGCACCACTGATAGTTTCTAACATGTGGCTTCAAAATGGTGCCGTAAAATATTAGGGGAGGAACATGATAGCCTATCCCGTTGGCTTGTTCAGGTGTAGTGGAATAGCCTTTAAGAGATTGAAAACATTTTACATGAAATAAAAATAAATATTGTAATTATATGTCAGTGTTTTTCTATGTGCAAAGCATTTCTTCAATTCTGGAATATAATGTACAACTCTGTATTCTTGCTCTCTGTCTCTTGGTCTTTGTCTCCTTTAGAGCTCTACCTCAATCATTTCTTTAGCTGCCAAGCTGTGTTTTCTTGGTTCCAGTTTTTGCAGACCTTTATGATGCCTCCTGGTTCATAAATTCTGTCTCCCACTTACAGTAATCAGTGTCTGCCCCACTGGAGTGGACGGAACCTTGTGAATGTGTCACCGTGTGAGTGTGTGTACATGTGTGTACCCTGCTCAGAGTCATGACTTCCCCTTTCTGGATATCTCGGAATATGCATCAACGCATTTAAGGCACTTTGTCAACCTGAGGTTCTATCTAAACATAATGTTGTATTATTTTTATTACTTTTTTTTCTTAACACAGATGTAGGTAGCTGACTTTGTTTTTGTTTTTTTTTTTTCAGAATAAACCATATGCTCTGTACATCCTACTTGCAACATATGTTTTTATGTCACATGTTGTAAAATCACTCATATGTCTGTACAAAACAGATGTATAAAAACTGCACAACCCATGTGGTTAAACAAACAAGGAATATTTGAGGCGGCAAGAGAGAGGTCTGTTAAATTAGACTTGGATAGGATTTGCTGTAAATGTTTAGACTGTTACAGAATCTAGTCTTCCTCTAAAATGAAGAGGAGAGAAATACAATCTCCAGAACTGATAATGAACTCCTTATTGAAGTCTTCATATTTTTAGATGTATGATAAATTTCAGATATTGATGATATGACTTAGAGTTTCTGACTCACATGTGCCTAATGCCTCAGCAAACTTAGTGTTCACTGAAAATTCATTTTTTTCGACATTGAATCAATGAATGAATGAACAGAACGATATACTTAAAATCTCTCATAACAATTTTACATGGTTGCCAGGAACAATTTTCACTATAAGAAAGTTTCCATCACTTATTTTCACCATCATTTGTCTCTGGTTACATTTTCATGAAGAGGATTTAGACTTTCTTAGTCAGGTTAACACTATTATTCTTTGTGGAAAAAAAGTAAAAAACATAATGAAGAATCATTTCAACACCTATATATGTTTGGTTCTTTAGCACCCATGATGAGACAAAAGTTTGGGTAGAAAAATGACTTCAGCACTAGGGATGCTTGTTTGTTTTAATGCAGTCTTGAATGCAGATAGAGACAGAATTCCTCTATTTTTTTCAACTCTGAAATGTTTTCTAATTTTGTTATTTCACTTACAATGTGAATGGTGCTAAGGAAAGAAGAAGATGTACCTGTCTTATTTTTTAAAAAAGCTTTTGTTGTGAATTGAATGATAGTTGACATGGGAGAACCTCAGTGTTGCACTAATCCTATCATCTTTTGTTTCATTACAATGATTACAATCCCCACTTTGCAACATCATTCAACAGCATTTGCTTTTTTTTTTTTTCTTAAATGTTTTATTGTGA